CGCTGGCTGCGGGCTCTCTCCCAGCAGCAGGGCAGGGACCCTGCGGATCCGAAGCCCCCAGATCTGCAAGCTGTACGGATTGCACCCACGACCAGGCTTTCATCCCGAAAGACAAGGAGATTAAAAGAGAGGGAAAATCCGCTGGAGAAAGACAGGCAGCGCCCGCCCCGGCCAGCCCGACGCAGTCCACAGGTCAGCGGGTCGAAGCGTGGTGCTGGCTCCGCTCCCGAGCACGGCACAAAGCTCCTGCCCGACCCCGTCCCACCGGGGTGCTCCCCTCCGCGCCCTCCACCCTGCCGGGAATGGCGAGGCTGCCAGGCCAGGAGCATCCCATGGCAAACAAAAGAGACCACGGTAACTGCCCTTCCTTGGGAAAAGGCTGCAAAAAGGAGCATTTGCCACCAAAAATAGCAACACCCCTGCAGCGAGGCGGGACAGCAGTAGGGGTTAGCCGAGCACACAGGGCTGGGGGCACTTGCAAGCCTGATTTTGATGCTTGGGGAATAAAAATGTAGGAACAAATCAATCCAGCCCCCACCTGTAGCTACCTCCATCAGCCCCAGCTGTGCCAGGCGTCTGCACTAGCACTGCCACGTGGCTTCTGGGCCACTGGCAGGCACCAGGGGACCACCCTCAGGACCTCTGGGGACCATGAGGACAAGCTGTCCCCAGCTCCCGGCCGCAGTGTCACGCTGTGGAGCACAGCTTTCACCCCCTTCTGCAGGCGTGCCATTGCCCTCAGTGCCAGAGAAGTGGGAATAAAGAAGATCTGGGTGATTTTCCTCCATCCTGGTCACGGCCAGGAGCCTTCCAGGAGACACAGGCGCCTGCCCCCGGCCCTGATAAGCTCTCAAACTAAGCAGGGACACCTATAAATGGATTAGAAAGTGAAGGAGAGGTGCCTGATCTTCAGTCAAAGGATGATGAGACACAGCCCTGGGAGTCCTCGGGAGCCCTGCGGGAAGCCCAGCGGCTTGGGAAGTGGCTAATTTGGATTAAAACCAAACGATCCAAAGCGCTGCTGGCTGGGCTCAGCCCCAAGCCCTGGCGCAGGAGGGAGCAGGGTGGACGGATGCTATTTTCACTGTCGGAGCAGGGTGGGAGACCTGGAGCATCACACAAGGTATTGAAACGGGGCGTTGTGGCTCGGGGCTCCCTCGGATCTTCGGTCAGGGTCAGGCATGTTTGGGGTCCGGGGTCTTCCCCCCGGCTGCATCAATGGGGAAGGCACAGGGAAGAGCTGGAGCCAGAAACCAGCTACATGGAGACGGCTGGGAAAGCACGGAGAAGTTTAGGAAGCTCGAGGGGGAAGGCTCGTCCTCAGCCCAGAGCCGTTTTCTGCCTATCCCCGTGCCGTCTGCAGCGCAGACAAGGACCCAGTGAGACTGCACCAAAGTGAGCAAAAATGCCCCGTTTGTGGCAGGA